GGGGGGGGGGGGTAGATAGTGTGTTATTAACCCAATCATTTTTAGATATTTTCTTCTTCTTCTTCTTTTCCATTTCTCATCTGTCAGTGATCTCCCGTTTGGGGCAACTCTTTGTTCTCTTTATCATCAGATGTTCTTCCATCATTTTAATTCATCTCTGTATTTTGTGTCCAAAGCAGATCCCCCCCCCCCCCCCAAACCCAAACCCCTCTCAAGGGGGCAGGAGGGGCAGACATGGACCACTGAACTCTCCAGCTTGTCGATTTACTAATGTCTGCATGTTTCTGTGCTTTTAAACCGTCGTTTTTAAAAACAAATGTCTGTATTACCGCGTTTATACAACCTGCCTTTTCTGTGAGTCACTCTTCTACAACAGACGGAGGTTGTGTGTGTGTGTGTGTGTGTGTGTGTGTGTGTGTGTGTGTGTGTTGGCCATCGTCTCTGGTAGCTGGTTCATTGTGTTAGTGAGTGTGACTGGAGATAAAGAGTGTATGAAAGGCCTGGTGTGTGTGTGTGTGTGTGTGTGTGTGTGTGTGTGTGTGTGTATGTATGTGGAGGAGGAATGAGCCGTGGTGTGCATGAAAGCCGGGGTCACAGAGTAAGACCTGCAATTTCACCTGCGTTAAAAGTGCTTCTGGATGGAGCACCGTTTGTTTAATCATGTGTGTGTGTGTGTGTGTGTGTCTGCAAAAAAGCCTGTGCACTTTTTCATACCAGTGCCTCTACATGCATGTACATGTGTATTTGTGTGCATGCATCATGCATGTGTGTGTGTGTGTGTGTGTGTGCGCGCGCCCTCAAGCGTTGCGAGAGCTCATTACTGTGCGTCTCTTTGTTGTGGCCCGTAGAGCGTGGCAGACCTTCCCAAAAAATATGCACATCACTAAAACAACAAGCCCCGACAGAACAAAAACACACACACATTAATAATGGAAGATGAAAAACAACCTTAGACATCAACAACAACAAAAAAACAAGATGGGGGAAGGACATGAGTGATATTTGGGGTTAAGTTTCAGAGCCCTCAAGTGTGTAAATCCAAATGAATCGCTAAGACACTAAGAAGATATGCGTGTGTGTCGACTGCCACTTTATTCTAGACGCATCCTCTCTCCTCTGTGTGTGTTTGCGCATCCAGGTGGTGTGTGTGGAGGCCAGTGGGCGTGGCCGAAGGCTCCGCAGACAGGTGCGCCTCAACCGTGTGCAGGATGTGGCGCTCTGCTGGTGGGACCTGGACGAGCTCGATGACGAGCCGTGGACCTGGACCCCCACAAACACGCAGAGGAACAACCTGGTGCTGCTCAGCTGCTCGCCTGCTGAAGGCCTCAAGGTACACACACACACACACACGCACACACACATAAAAAGGGCAGGGACAACGTTTTCAAGACTTGGAGAAGGTTTTTGACGTTGTCCCCGTGGAGTCTTGTCTGGTCGCTGTGGGGATGCAACAAACTGTGGTTTTCTTTCTTACAACTGGAGCGACACTGGAGTCGATATTCGTGGCATTAACTTAAATATGTTCTTGTCACCGATTCTGGTTTTGATCCTCTCACCTTCAGACTCAGAGGGAAAAGTTTCCCGTTTGGTGAGAAAATGGTGGATTGTTTGGGAGCGAGTTGCTGCCTGAAATTAAAGTATAAAGAATTAAAAAAGGATTTCATCCAACGAAAAATAATAAACTCACAATTAGTTGATGCTGGTAAATTTCCATTATGGGGATAATCATGAATATTGTCTCGAGTGACTTGAAAAAGATGGTGCAGAAGTGAAAAATAGAGCCTGGCTTTAATATACAGTTAGTTTCTATTTTCTTATTCATTATTCTATATTCATGCAGGAGGACCTGATCAAGTATGATTACCTGACAGTAATTAAGATTGTTTGATTGTTTTTTTTTCACAAAAAAACAAAAATGAGTCTGTAAAATGTATTTGTTTCTTAAAAGATAGAGTTTGGGTTGTTGCTTGTTGTAATTTCTGCCACCTTTATCTGTTGATACTGTTATTCTTCTTGCATAAAACACGGAAAATCCTACTTCCTGTCTCTTTCAAATGAAATCGATCTATTTTTTAACATCAGCTCTCATTATAGGCACGTTTCACAAGACTTTATAGAGAACAAGCTCAGATTAATTTAACTATAACTGTAATGATTAAATACGGTAAACAAGTAAGAAATGAGACCGAGCAAAGCATAAAGTTCCATGAGTGACCGTGAATAAGAAATCCTGTCTTAAAAGGATTTCTAATACCTTTACTGCGGTGTTTGAAGCCCAGTAAACAAATCATAACTCATGTGTTTTTATACACACAGTGAAAGAGGCAACAAAGCTGCTGTTTTGAATGGGGAGGCCTGTGTTGTGCTGGATGGGATTGGGGACGGCGTGTTAAGTCACCTCAAGGGTGGCACCTCCGTGTTGCACCTCCATGCATCACCATCTGAAATAAGAAGGGAGGAAGCTAAGCTGTGGTACAGCGTGAAGAACGCCTAAACACACACACACACACACGCATCTTAAGACGCACACATCCTCGTGGCCTCTGGCAAAAAACGTCACCCGTGACCCGATTCCGTGTCACCGTAGGATTGTCCTCGTGCCAAAAAGCAGATGAAAGATCCCCCCTCCCCCCCCCCCCCAAAAAAAAAAGATACCGAACTGGGCTTAACTCTATACTCTTCGTACGGTGCTTCATCGGTAAGAACATGCAGAACGTTTCACCACACCAGAGAGAGAGAGAGAGAGAGAGAGAGAGAGAGAGAGAGAGAGAGAGA